GACAGCATGGGGGTGGCCATCTTCTGTCTTGGAGTGACGGTCAATTTGCATATTACTCTTTTATTAGATAGGATAATGTATAGCAGGATGTTGTAAAAATTAAGTTATGAATTTTTTATTAAAACGTTTGTTACATACCATTATATTGGCTGGGCCACAAAAATATTCATTGTGGGCTGGAAGTGGCCTGTTGGGCCATAAGTCTGACAAGCATATAAGTGTGTGATAACAACCTAACAAAGTGCCACCCCCCCCCTTTTTTTTAAGGAAAGGAACTAATTTTGACACTGTAGTAATTAGTCTACATTTCAATAGTTGTATTTTTACCCTTTATGCTTCCAATAAATTTAAAAATTATTAAATAATTTAGTTAAGATTTTCTTAATTTTGTCAACACAAAAAACATATTGGTTTTCTTTATTCTATCTTACATATGTCTAGTATTAAACTTGTTTTATTATGATAACATCTTCCTTTACAAAATACTCTATACTCATTTAATCTAATACTACCACTGCACTCTCCCCTCAATACCTAGGTCTCTTTCCAGTTAGAAAAAAAAAAAAAATAGTTTCCAAATATTTACTTTAGTTTTTACTGAAACTCTACCAGGATCCTGATCCCGTTTCCTCTCTTTCTAATTTGCTGGGACAGGAGAAAATTGGGGTAATTAGAAAAGGTGTCTTCCACGACTTACCATGTATACATTTTTATTAAATGAAATCTTTAAAAGGTGATTCTGTAGATGGAAAGGTATCAGCTGGGAGAGACAAACTGAACATGGACGGTAGTGGTGGTGGACCCTATGGGAGCAGGAAGGTTCAGAGCCTTCCAGGATGTGGTCTAAACGATGTGCTCTAAACGATGGCTTAGCACCTAGACAAAGGAGATACATTTTTTTTGTTGTTTTTAAATACATTAGGGGGAGGGTAACTTGCTTCTTGCCTAGGGGGCTCGAGCCTAGAGGTGTAAATCATTTAAACTCCCATGTGCCGAGCACTCCTTCAGTTTTGCCATCTGAGCTCTCTGTTCAGATCCTCTTTGAGAGTATTGTTTTCCTACAAGTAAATCCTTGCCTGCTTTTGCTGTTATTTGTTGTCTCTTATTTGAATTTATTCCTATAAGCAAGACTAGTGGAAGTGCAGAGTACTATCTCTGGCCTGAGGCAGAGACCCCCTTGTTCACCACTGACAATTTCTCTTTCTTCAAATAAAATATTATTAAGCTCTATAATTATTGAAGCGCACGACAGTCAAAATATTCATTGTGGGCTGGAAGTGGCTTTTTGGGCCACAAGTTTGACAAGCGTATAAGTGTGTGATAACAACCTAATTTCATTCTAATCTAACTTTATCCATTGTTTCATTTTCCTAACTTCTAAGTGGATGAAATAAATTAGTTACCTCTTATTTTCAAACCTCAGATATTTTTCAGATCTCATAAAAATGTTTCTTTTGAAATCATTTTGAGCACTCTTATTCATGTCTTTTGAACACATTACCTTAACAGATAATAGTTAACTATCAATTCTTGATATAGTTTATCCTCCTTAGTTTTTTTTAAAAGCCTCCCAAACCTTAGAATTTAAGAAAATATTCCCAAACTTTAGTATCTTACTGCTTTTTCATTTTTACCACTTTCTGGGATACATTTATTTTTAGTCTTCTACAAAAAGTCTTAGAAGTCAGCTAGCAATCTAAGTAGAAACACACAGATACCTCCTATCCTTGCCTTCCTATACTATTGCTCATCTGGTCTCTCCTATTGTTGTAATTTGTTACACTGTATGTAGCAAAAGACAGGTACAGATTTTACATTACGCCTAAAAGTATGTCCTCATCTAGGGCATTTCTTTAACTAACAATTGGAAATTTAGCAATCACCAGGAAGACAGCAGTACCAGAGCATAGGCCAAAGTGGCAGTGGCAGCTGAAAGGCAGCTTTGCATCCCGTCTGCCCTTTAAAACGCAGAGTCCAATCTAGGTCATTGCATTCAGCGGGGAGCTTGGTAACATCTTCCAACTCTGTGCAGCACCAAGATGAGTGTCTTTTGACCCAGTTTTGCACAAGAGAATGCCAGGCTGCCAGGCTATGGCAGCTGTAAGTGTTGGATCCGTGCCTTTCTGTTGCTAGAAGGATTCTTGCCATGTAAGTTTCAGGATTTGTTTCTTTCCAAGAAACGATAAGGCGGTTGTGTTTGCTACTCTTGCCTGGGAGGCCATGATCCTTTGCTACTATTTCAGGTTGTATGCAAATTGAAATTGACCAAAATGATCTCAATTCCCCATCAGCTGACTAGACTTGCTTCTTCCTGCCGCTAGTCCTTTGACCTCCCTTTTCTTAGAGGATTTGCTTTAGAAAAAAACAGTAAATGTAAATTCCTTCTTTCCTCCTTTGAGGTGTGACTATTTAAAAAAGGTTTTTGACAGTTTTCCAATCCAGAAATGTTTTTTTCTCAAAAGCCATTCCTTTGAAATGCCGACATCAAAGGAGAGAGCACCCAGTCTCTCAGTTTTGTGAGAGATCAGGAACATAATTGGAGTGAGCTCCTTGCTTCAAGTTGTAAAACTACCTTCTTTCCCAAAGATAGGAGAGGCATTACTTTTCTCTTAGATACAGCCGATTAGCAAACACAGATGACCTATATTCTCTCCCACCTGAGCACTCTGAAATTATCCCTTCTACCTTTTGTTCTGACAGAATTATTAATTTATTGGGGTGACATTGGTTATTGAAATAATATGTTTCAAGTATACATTTCTATAATACACCATGTGCACATTGCATTGCATTTTTATCACCCGGAGCCAAAGCATCTTCCGTCACCACATATGTGACCCCCTTTCCCCTTTGCTACTCCCACCCTTCCCTCTGATAGCTTCTGCACTATGTGCCAACGCGTTTTTGCTTGTTTGTTTTTCTTGTTTGTTCATTTACTGCTTTCAGTTTTATATTCCCCCTGTGAGTGAAATCATATGGTCCTTGCCCTTTTCTGTCTGACTTATTTCCCTTAGCGTGGTAAGTAAACACTCAGTTCTGGTCCCCCTCCAAGATTACAACAGCCTTCAATAAAGGCTTACCTGCTTAACTTTGTCCAGAGCAAATATTTGCTTTGACAAAACATAATTTTAAAATTACCGAGGCTGGGAAATGTCTCTTCCCATCACATTGCAGCTTTGAGACTCAGCATCTAAAGCAGGAGCATTTTTGTTTCCAGAGGCTTCATTCACTGAGTGTTAAATTGGTATTAACAAGATTCTCTCTATGATAAGCCAAATTCTCAAAGAAGTTAGATTCCTACTAGTTCCAAGGTCTTTTGCTTTTATTATTATTTTTTATTATTATTATTTTTAAATATATTTTTATTGATTTTTTACATAGAGGAAGGGAGAGAGACAGAGAGCTAGAAAAGTCGATGAGAGCAAAACATCGACCAGCTGCCTCTTGCACACCCCCTACTGGGGATGTGCCCACACCCAACGTACATGTCCCTGACTGGAATCGAACCCGGGACCTTTCAGTCCGCAGACCGACGCTCTACCACTGAGCCAAACCGGTTTCGGCGGTCTTTTGCTTTTAGATGCCAATCTTTAAATACCGTGTCTTGTTCCTCTGTGACCAGAAATATTGAAAAATGCAGCTCCTTAAACAAGGATCCTGATGCTTTGATAATCAAGCCCCTTCCTTTCTTCCTTCCTTCCTCCCTCCCTCCCTCCCTTCTCCTTCCCCCCTCCCTTGGTTTCTTCCTTCCTTCCTTCCTTCCTCCCTTCCTTCCTTCCTTTTTCTTCTTTCTTCTTTTTTAAAAAAAAATATGATCATCAATAGTTTAGGCAAAATGAGCCACATTCCATTCCTAAAATGTATCCACTCATACTATTTTCTTTTACTATCACAAGAAGTTATTATAATGTCTCCTCTAATCTCATGAGTCTTAAAAAGCTATTAAAATGTTTTAAATGAATGTGAACCCTGATAATGCTCTGAGCAGGTTTTATGCCTTTTAACTCTCTCTTAACATCTAACATTATATCATATGTACTTCATCATCTCTTTTCTCCACTTGGACCATGAGCGTCTGGAAGGCAAAGACGTGGCTTACTCAGTAGTTTATGTTCCAAAGATAGAGCTAATACTTGCACATTAAGTAACATTCAACTAATGTCTGGTAAATTAGCAAAACTATTTGCACTAAATTTTATAAGGTGCATAAACCAATATAAAATGTCAATATAGAGGATCAGAAAAAAACAAATAGCTTTTAAATCTCATCATTTCCACAATTCTATGTATTTTCATTGTCCATTTAAAGTTAATAGAATCCACATTAAATGTTCTATGAAGATTTTAAAATTAAAATAATACATTGCAAAGAATAAAGAGTTATTTGAACACATCTACTTCAAAAAAAAAAAAAATAGAATCCGCTTTGCTTCCCAATATTTTAAATATGGACATAAACAAATTCTTATTTGATCATTAATGACCTCACTGCTTCTCTTTTCAGTGCCTCTATCTGATATTTATTTTATAAGCCATTTTACTGAATTTTTAAAAAATTAATTTTAGAGTGAGAGAGGAAGGGAGGGGGAGAGAGAGAAAATCATCCATGAGAAAGAGCCATCAATTGACTGCCTCTTGCACACCCGCTACTGGGGATTAAGCTAGAAATCTGGGCATGAGCCCTGACTGGGAATCCAACCAGTAACCTCTTAATGCATGGGGTGATGCTCAACCAACTGAGCCACACATGCCAGGGCATATAAGCCAGTTTAAATTATCAGTGGAAGGAATTTGATATATGTACTAGTATACATATATACATTTATAATTCCAGTGACAAAAGAAAAAGTAGTCTGACTTTTCTTTGTTAGTCTTTCAAATGGAAAAATAAATAAATAAAATAAGAGATGCAAGCTGTATTTTTCTTTAAATTTTAAAATCCTGTACTCAAATTCTAAAATCCACAAGACATCAGTGTGAAGCTTCATCTTTTACTGTACCTGTATATGCAAATTGGACAAGATCCCAGAGAGCATTGGGGTCTATGCCTTCCATCTTGATTTCCTCTTGCTTGGCTTCACAAACATCACTTGTAAACATGGCAGAAAAGTAGTCTGAGACTGAGCTCAGGACAAGCCTGAAAGAGTCAAAAGATCTAATTTAGGGAGTCAATATAAAGCATCAAAATGCTAAGTGTCAACAACAATGGAGTACAGAGCAATCCATTTAAATATCTTTCTGTGTCTGTTTGCCTATCAACCAACTATATATCTGTGTATATATCACCCATCTATTAATCTATAATTACCTTATGGAATGTACTTCTAAAAACTGATTTAGAAATTCTGTTCTACCATTTTAAATGCATTTTTCATTTCACTTTTAGTTCTTCTATCCTTTTATATCAGAATCCAATTTTATGTCTTTCTACATCCTCACCCATTTTTTACCACTAACTACTAAATAATACAGGCCTGGTCCTCACCCAAGTACCCTCCCCTGCCAACTTGGTCACCCCTAACTGCCCTCCCCTGAAAGCCTGGTCCCTCCCTGCATGCCTGTAGCCCCCAACTTCCCTTTCCTGCAGGCCTGCCCCCCCAACTGCCCTCCCCTGTAGATCTGGTCTCTACCAACTGCCCTCCTCTGCAGGCCTGGTCAACCCCAACATCCCTGATCTACTGGCCTGGTCACCCCTAACTGCCCTCCCCTGAAGGCTTGATTGCCCCATGGCCCTTCCTTGCAGTCCTGGTCCCTCCCAACTGCCCTCCCCTGCTGGCCATCTGGTGGCAGCCATCTTGTGTCCACATGGGGGCAGCCATCATGTGTGTTGGAGTGACAGTCAATTTGCATATTACTCTTTTATTAGAGAATATGTTTTCCTTAAAATTGTCTTGTGTACTCTTGGTTACTCCTATATACTTTATAGTTTGTATTTTTTTTTAGCATTATCTATGATAACTTAAAAAAAATAAAGCACAGTTATCTTAAATATTTATTATATACCAATTAGATAAATCAGTGTCAAATAATTAGTTTTATCAAAAAATATAACAAAATATAACATTATGCAATAGGAAAACAAATTATAATAAACCAGAGGGATTATATTTCTCTCCTAGTGCATAAGAAATATATTGAGAAAAAAATTAACTGTTTTAACCTTATACATATAACGACTTGATTTATAAACAGGGCCACTTCCATATAAAAAAAAATATTGTGAGACCTAGATAATTCAACCTTAAATAATTACATAAAATCTCCAAAACTGTGACATACAAAATACTGCAAACTCAGTAAGAGAAGTGCAGAAAACTTTGTAATGCATTTAGATTTCATGAACATAAAATTTGCATTACATTTTAGAAGAGAAATGTAATGAAAAACAGAAAGTAATATCTTTATATGTGCATATAAAGCTCCTATTAATGCAAGAAAAGCAGGAGCCAAAAATGCATATATAAGTGGATTAATGTAGCCACTCTGGAAAATCTTATTGAGGTCACCATAAATGTATTTCCTTCAAAACCTATTAAACTTTTCTAAGTCCACTCCAATTTATTGTGATATTTAACATTGTTGACCTCCCACTCCATCATTAAATCTCCATTTTAGCTAAGGCAGTGCAGACTTTCTTATCTCAGCTTACCTCTGATTCACTGACTTCTCTTCCTACTGTTACTCTTGACCCTTTCATTTCTCTAGGCTTTGAATCAGGGTTCTAAATATTTGCCTTAACACTCACTGTTTCAGAATCATTTTTAACCATGGTCTTAATTAGTATTGTTATGGTAGTTTTATATCTAGCCTTGCATCTGGAATCCTAAAAAAACTCACCAGATATCCCAGTAGCATTTCAGTATTCCCTAAATTAACTCAAAGTCTTCCCTGTGAGATTTTCTTTCATTTATACTTCCCTTATTCTAACTGGTGTACCACCAATATATTGAATTTTCAGAGTAGATATTATAAAAGTACTTATGTCTTCTCCTCCATTACTTATCCAATAAGATATAAAATCCATCTTTCCTTTTATACTGGACTTTGTTTTTTGCCTTGCCTATACTCCCTTTATGAGGCACACCAATGTGCCCTGGGCTAGTGATGCACATAAACTTCTTGTAGCTACTCTTTCTCTAGAACTACACATGGCCCAACAGAAGCTGCCCAATGGGAGTTTATGTGTTCTTCACATGTGGTTGGCCCAACAGTATTGACCATTAGAACCCAGGTATAAAAATACTACTTCTTGAGCCACTAGAGACAAAGTCCTGCGACCACAACTGCAGACCCACAGACACCAAGATTCCAGACATCCATGCTGCAGATTTCTGTGAATCACAGAGCCCAAGCCCCCCCCCCCTTTTCCCCCCCTGCAGGCTCAGTGCAGTGCCAAAGGAACTACTAGACCCACCCCACACAAGCAGGCCTCCTGCCCACACAGGGCAGCTCTGCTACCTGAATTTGAGCCTAGACACACAGACTTTGAGAGGCTATTTCCTGCAGTGTGCAGTCACACGGCTAGACCCTATGCCCACAAGGGCAGAAGTGCCAGTGACTCCAATTCCCAGCACATATGCACATAGGGACCCTATCTGTCCATGCAAGTTTGCACTAAGCAACAAAGACTCGGATACCATGGGCAAAGGGAGACTCTGACTCCTGGCATGTGCTAGGGGACTCTGATTTTCAACACATGCCAGCAGGGTCTCTGTTTCAGTGTGATGCAGGTGGGTTCCCTAATTTTAGATGCGCACATGAGGCCGCACTAAGTGCAGGTGACTCTGATCCTAAGCAAGTGTGGCTCCCTCCAACCCATGACAGCCACATGCCTTGATGCTGGAGCTCTTCAGTGACACTTGAGTGGCATGAAGCTCCCATTGCACATGGTCCAGGACCCCACAACTTGGTATTTGAACCTTCTAGTGATAGTTAGAATAGGGAGACATCAAAACAATCCCCAGAGGAAAGAAAAAGAGGAATTGCCAAGAAAAAAAAAAAATAAGTGAAATGGAGGCATACACATGACAGAAAAATAATTCAGAGTATTGGTAAACTGGATGGATGAGAAAATCAACAACCTATGCAAAAATCAGGAAGAAATCAAAAGTGATGTAGCTCTAATCAAAAACACCAAGGAAGGTTTCAACAGTAGACTAGAAAAAGAAGAAGACCAAATTAATGAATTGGAAGATAAGGTAGAGAAGCCCAATTTGAACAGCAACTGGAGAAAAAAGAAATAAAAAAGCAGGAGAGCCTAAGGGAGTTTTGGTACTAAATGGGACAAAGTAACAAACATATAATAGGGCAGCCAGAAGGAAAAAAAGAGCAGCAAGAATTAGAAAATCTATTCGAAAAAATGACAGAAAACTTTCCTGATATGGGGAAGGAAAAAAAAAATCCAAGACACATCACAATTACAATGGCAAATGTTAATGACAAAGAGAGAATCTTAAAGGCTGCAAGAGACAGAGAGTTAGCTACAAAGGATCCCCCCTTAGATTATCAACTGATTTCTCAGCAGACACACATCAAGCTAGAAGGGAATGGAAGGAGGTATACAAAGTGATTTAAAGCAAAAGACTAAATCCAAGAATACTCTGTCCAGCAACACTATCAATCAAAATTGAAGAGGAAATTAGGAATTTTCAGACAAAAAAAAAAAAAAGGAAAGAAAAGAAATGCAAAAGGGAGTTTATCATTACCAAGCCAGCAATGCAAAAAATGCTAAAGAAAATACTGTAAAAAAGAAGAAATAGAAAGGAAGGAAAGAACATAGGCACAAAGTATAGGAATAGCTATAAACAAGTACCTTTCAATAATAACATTAAATGTAAATGGATTAAAAACTCCAATCAAAAGACATCAAGTGACTGAATGGATAAGAAAACATGACCCATATATTATATATGCTGTCTACAGGAGACCCACCTCAGTACAAGAGACTCATCCACACTGAAAGTGAAGGGATGAAAAAATATCTATCAGGCAAATGGAAATGAAAAATAACTGAGGTAGCAATATTTATATCTAACAAAATAGACCTCAAAGTGAAGACCATAACAAAAGACAAGAAAAGCCTCTTCATAATTCTAAAGGAATCGATACAACAAAAGGATATAACTCTGGTAAACCTATATGCACCCAATGCAGGAACACCCAAATACATAAAAAGCACCTGGAAGATATCAGGGGAGAGATTGACAGCAACACAATCATAGTAGGAGACTTTAATACCCTGTTAACATCACTGGATAAATCCTCTAGCCAAAAATTAGCAAAGAAACATCAATCATAAAAGACTCCCTAGATCAGATGGACTTAATTGACATCTTTAGAACATTCCACCGTAAAACTACAGAATATAAATTCTTCTCAAGCACACATGAGACATTTTCAAAGGTAGACCATATGTTTGGACACAGGCAAAGTCTCTCCAAATTCAAGAGGATTGAAATCATATCAAATATCTTCTCAGATCACAATGGCATAAAATTAGAACAATCAGAAATAATTCAAACAATTGGAGGCTGAATAGCACATTATTAAACAGTGAGTGGGTTACCAAAAAGATCAAAGGAGAAATACAAAACATATTGGAAACAAATTACAATGAAAACACAATAATCCAAAATCTTTGGGACACACTCAAAACAATCCTGAGAGGAAAGTCCATAGCATTTCAGGCCTACCTCAAAAAACAAGAAAAACTGGTAATAAACCAAATAACTCTGCAACTTGAAGAATTATAAAGAGAGCAATAAGAAAAGCCCAGTGTAAGCAGAAGAAAGGAAACAATAAAGGTCATAGTGGAAATAAATGACATAGAAACAAAAAAACAAAAATAATACAAAAGACCAATGAAACAACCATGATCAGGTCTTTGAAAGGATAAACAAGATTGATGAACCTCTAGCCAGGCTTCACCAAGAATCAAAGAGAGAAAACCCAAATAAACAAAATCAGAAATAAAAGAGGTGAAATAACAATAAACCCCACAGAAATATGAAAATCATAAATAAGTAAAAAATACTATGAGCAACTCTACTCTAACAAACAGGTCAACCTAGAAGAAATGGACATATTCCTAGAAAAATAAGGCCTTCCAGGAGAAATAACAAAATCTGAATAGGAGGA